TTAATTAAAATTTTAGACAATAATGCCCTTATATTTAAAATAATTTACATACCACCACTGTCACCCAGCCACCACCACCACTGCCACCTAGCCACCACTGCTGACAGCGAGCCAACCACCATAGGCCGCCGTCGGAAAATCACGGAAGTCCCCAAAAAAGAACGAGATTCAGTGGGAGACTCCGATAGGCTTCGATATGGCCGTTTTCGACCAAATTGATGGCAAAAAACGGCCATATCGGGCTAGATCTGGCCGAAAATGGCCAGAACTATTCTGTCCATTTTCGGCCAGATTGATGGAACTGGCCGTTACGACCAGATCCCTGGCCATTAACAGCCAGGTCTGGGCGAGATCTGGCCGTTAACGGCCATGTCCTTGGCCGTTAACTGCTAGATCTTGCCTAGACCTGGCCGATAATGGCTAGGGATCTGGCCGGAAATGGCCAGAATAGATTTGGCCATTTTCGGCCAGATCTGGCCTGATATGGCCGTTTTCGGCCATCAATATGGCCAGAAACGGCCAAATCAGAGCCTCTTCGTCACGGTAAGGTACTTTCGGAGATTTTCGACGGTGGTTTACGATGGCGGCAGGCGGCAATAGGAGGTGGGGGTGATTTCGTCATAAATTAAAGTTTTATATAAGCGGGGGTGTTTTAGCTAAATCTGAAATATTGGGGGTTAAAAGAAATTATTCAAAAATTAATAATAAAAATAATCTTATATTAATATTTAAAAGGGGGACAATTTAGTAATTTAAATAATATACCCACAATTTATTCTCCNGAGAGAAACCGAAAGTGGAAGTCCTTTGAATGATAATTTAATGAGTATTTAATTATGCTTTTCTGCTGTTTTTCGTCTTCTCCTTTGTCCTTTTTTGAGGAAAAACAAAGTGGAAGAAAAGAAAACACATTGGTCAGTTTTTCTTAAAATAAAATTATATTTGAAATTATTCTTCTCCACTATTCACTATTAATTATACAAAAAATCACAATTTGTTAAGCTTTTTTCACTTTCCAATTCGAACGAAACTTTTATTGGAAATGCCTGTTTTTGAGGCTCTAATAATGTGATAATGAATGAATCCTTGTTTCAATATATTATATATCGTGAAGCAACATAATACTGAGAAGGGTTGCTTACCTAAATGCATGACTCAAGAGATATCTTCTGCTTCAATGCATCGTAATTCACTAAATGCCAAAGACTAGCTTCATTACTGACATAAATACATAGAGGGAGGGACCAAGTATTTAAGCGAACTGCTAATGGGGCTTTAGACTTTAGGGTTTTATTTGAAATTCAAATTGCGGAGAAACGCATGCATGTTGTACAGTTGTAGTATCCATGTGTCACTATAATTAACCCAATAATAAGTCTAGGATGCTAGATTATAATGCGGCTTTCATATTTCATTAGTTTATAGAGAGCGTATGAACATGCAGCTAGCTAGCTTTTGAAAATTATCGTTGAAAAAACGTAGAAAATAAAAAATTTATGTGATTGAACTGTTTGAAAGTCAAGAAAATGAATGGATGGCATGTAAATTAAAACTACCTGATTTCGTTTTTATTTATTTCATTTGAAGAAACGAAGAATGTTGATAACTCAAGAGGTTTATGAGTTCGAGTCTCTTCTTGGTTACTAATATGGGTAGTTACTGAAACTCTTACTTGATAAATGATTCTAAGATATTGAATGATTAGTTGAAGTATGAATAAGCTAACTAAAACTACGGGGTCATCAAAAATAAAAAAGAATGCTGATAACTCAATCTTGTTTTTATAGAAAGCATTCCAATTGTATCTTTTTAGCTCAATTTATTTGATTATTTGTTTTCTTTACATTCGATTAAATGCTTCTTAAAAGATATGTTAAAGACTTTTTCGAGAAGAAGAGTAAATTTCTATTTGACTAAAAATAAATAAAATATCATTTTTGTCTGTATGAAAATAATAAAATGCGGGTTACGAGATGTAAAGCAACCTTTAATTTGTTCTGTCACACAACATTAAAAGGGAGAATAATATATATATATTCTTCACACTTAATGCTATTTACAGTCTCTAATAATAGTATAACAATTGACATACGGGCCTTGACTTGATGACATCTTTTATTATTATATTCATATATGCACAATTAACATTCTTGTTAAAATATAAGCTGCCAGAAATATATTGGCCTTTTCTCTTGTGTAATTATGGGTGTGGATTCTCCTTGGGAGGTGAACCACCTCTTCCAGTGAAAGTGACACGCTTATACATGCATCAAGTTAAGCATAGAGATGGGGGTATTTTCTTAAGCACTGTTGCCCATTGCTGTCATCCCAGCTGCTAGCTTACAAATTTACTTCACCATTGTATTAATCACATCGAAATCATGCGTCAATACATGTTCATTCGATGTAAAATATATTTGTTGAAGAGACTCAACTGTTTTACATTGCATAGCCTATTAAACACAACTAGCAAGCGAGGGTCTGCATAAGTTGCTGTGCCCAAAACCAAAAGCACTAAAAAGAAGCTTGAGAAAATCAACTGATGAAAGCAACTTGCCCTCGGTGTTATTTATTGTCTTAAGCATGCGAGTAAATCATCTCTCTACATCCCCATTCTCTTATTGATAACCCACGAAAAGAATATAAATATGATGTATGCATGTTTGTGGGAACTGGTGTATTGAAATAGTGCAGGAAAAAGAGTATTATATTTTGAAATGTGAGATTTAGAGTGAATGACAAAGGCAATATTGTCCCCTTTTCCTTGTTTGATACTGTCAAAAATTTTGAGTCACCTTTTCAATGTTTTAATGAACTATATATATTTATATAGTTTATTATATGCAAAAACTTGTCTAAACTCTCATGTCTGGATCGAACATGCAGGTTAATTAAATGACAAATAAAGAGCTTTAAGTTTTTGGCTACACCGAGAAGTTGAATTTTAGAGCGTACTCCTTATATATAAATTAAGATCTCTATTCCCCATAAACAAAGAGCTCATAGTAAAGTAAACCCTTATAAGTAATACAATGTTAAATTGTCAAGGAAGCCTCAAGTGCCCTTTCTCTCTTTGGGTTTGCTACTTCCCCAAGAGCATCTCTAAGTCATCAGAAGCTTCCAACAATACAAAAACACCATATGATAGAGTGAAGCTCGTTCTCATTTACTTGACACGCCCCACCAAGAGCTAACAGACAGTTTTGGGTTGTTGGATTCAGCTTTTCAAGATTGAAGTTTGCATAATGACAAGAAGAAACAAATGCGTCTGGATATAGATTTCCTGACCTACTTTTTTCCTGCCTTGATTTTTTGGCTATGATTACTCGGAGGCTCTGAAAATTTCAAACCCATAATTTGATTTTCCAATCTTGCTTTTTAGAGATAGAGTTTGACAAAGAGTTGTGCTTTGCCACCTGGGTTATGACTGGTCAACATGATTTTCCACCACTCATCATGATCACCTCGTTAATTATAAGATTAACCTAACCATCTCTGTATATGACACTAATTAATTACACGAGTACATAAATATACTTTGCGAGGACGAGACAACGGCATTAGACCAAATTTTAAGCGAGGCAAGCTTTTAATGTAAGACACTAATAATCAGTTTCTTCATCAATGCATGCATCTTGATTTGAAGACTAATAAAATAAGATTGAGGGTTTGGCCGTATAATGGAATTTCAAAATGAAAGCCAGGAATGATTGGCCCTTATGTTTTGATTATGGAGATTCAGGGCAACGAAAGGAACATGTGCATGGAATCAACTGTGCTGAAACAAACAGGTGAGTATTCCTTTTTAAGCTAAGCACTTCACAATGGAAAAGTGATGGGGTCAAAAGAAAGTGAATGACAGTATTGCTAAATGCAGCAGGTCAATATAGTGCAAGCACTGCAATGGATCAGAATTGATTCAGGACCCGTGCCCAAGAGTTTTTTGTCTTTCTTTGTCGACCATATATATGTTTCTGTTCTTTTCCCTTGTACATTCGTTCCTTCATAAAAACTATTTAGAAAGAAATTCAACATGCATGTTTTGAGAGGGAAAGAAGAAAAAGCACAACAGTATTGTAAAAGAAGACATGATTTAACATATGCGTACAGATTGGGCAGTTCAACAAAGAGCTTTCAGCTTCGGACCGGGTACTTAATTGCTCTCGTCTCTTTGTTAGGAAAAAGCAATTGCATAGACATATCTCTGCAGCTTTCTGTGCAGTAAACAATTTCACAGTCGGAACTCCGAAGGCCAAGGGTGAAGAAAAAGAAAATTATAAATATAATTATTTGTTAATTGATTTATATAGTCATGAAGATGACTATTCTTTTGTAGTGCATCATCAGCCCATCCAACTTTGCTAGAAGTTGACAAATTAATGACATTGATTTATCTTTTTAATACATACGAAAATTGATGAGTTTAATTAACTTATAACAGAAATAATAATTAACTTATAACAGAAATAATTGTCTTTAATCATTTAAAGAAGTACAAATAATGGCAAAATATTGAGTTTCACTGTTTTCAGACTTTGAAAGAAAAAATAATTCAACTATCACTGTGTGACCTGATGGTAAAAGAATAAAAAGATGTTTTATGAGTTCTTGAGTTTGAGTAACCCCTAAGAACTAATAGGAGTCGTCAATAGGGCTCTTACTCAACCAACAGTTCTAGAGCCCAAAAACTGAGGTAACTGAATTGAAATATAAAGGTAGTTGATAATTGAAATAAAATACTAATCTATTAAGTATAGAAATCACATAATAATAATAATGCTGATCTCATTTCCAAATTATTTACATTCACTAGATGATCATATGAATAAGTTCTTAGCTTATGCTTGTTATGGTATTAAAGAATTTAAAACACAAAGGAAACATTAGCACAAATTTTCACTAGATTCTGAATTTCTATGATCTAGTACATTTACAATAGCTACTCAGCTACTTTTAAACCTAGTTAATTATCAAGAAAAAGAAAATACTGAAATGAGCAATCTTATTGATGAAGACAATAGCCTTAAATGTGTTGTTGCCATTGAGTTGGAAATGCTGATGATCAACCCAAACACACCCACTATGTTTCTTGCTTTGAATCATTCTTCTCAAAGATTTTCACCATCTCCTCTAAAGTCTTGCCTTTGGTCTCAGGTAAAAAGAAATAAAAATGTATATTAGCCACCACCATTATTCCCGAAAGCACAAAAAACATCCCTCCAAAACTGATAGCCTCCGAAATTGACAAAAACGACATTGCCACCGCCCCACTCACCAACCGGTTCACCGAGATAGCCAGGCCCGAAGCCTGTGCACGTATTTTGGATGGAAATATCTCTGTAGAGTAAACCCAAGTTATGGGCCCAAGTCCGATAGAAAAGAATGAAACATCTGCACAAACAGCAATTATGGACATCACAATAGCCCACAATGGCTTATCGGTAGAATTTTCAAGAACCTTTGAGCCCGCGCCCAATACAGCCAATGACACAACCATTCCAGTTGTGCCAATGAACAAAAGGGGCTGCCTTCCAAAACGGTCCAAAAATATAGCTGAAATCAACACAAATCCAGTCTTGGATAGTCCCATTATCACATTCACCCCAAACATAAATTTCTTGTTATGAATCCCGGCGGCCTTCAACACCTGAGGAGTGTAGTATATAACAGCATCATTGCCTGAAGCTTGCATGAAAAAGTTTATACCAATAGCCGCCACAAGCATCCGACGAACGGCGGGAGTTGGTATCAGAATTTCCTTCCATACTCCTTTCGTATTTTTGTTTTTAGATTCTTTATGAACTTTGACAATTTCTTCAAGTCTGAATTCAGCTTCCTGCGGACTATCAGAAATTTTGATCAAAACCTCCCTTGCCTGATCGATTCTATCTTTACCCACAAGCCAACGAGGAGATTCCGGCATTATAATAACCCCAAATAAAATAATAACGGAAGGCAGAGCAGCGATTCCGAGCATTAATCTCCAATTGATGTTTGGTGGGAGATCTGATAAGATATAGTTGACAATGTAACCAAGGAGGATACCCATCACAATGAAGAACTCAGGAAGGGAAGTGAGGAAGCCACGTTTGGAAGGGGGAGCAATTTCAGATGTATAAAGGGGGGCAATCATGAGGGCATAACCAACAGCAACTCCAGCAAGAAGACGGCCGGCTAAAAGAATTCCATAGTTTGGTGCTAGTCCCATTACAATTGCACCTACTAAAAATGTCATTGCTGCAAGAACGATGGTGTATCGCCTACCTATCAAATCTGAGGTTTTTCCTGAGAGCAATGACCCTATTAGTGAACATACATTCAAGCTACCAACTAAAATTTCTACCTTCACTGAATTGATTTTCATGTAATCTTTTATATAAAGGACTGCACCACTCATCACTCCAGTATCTGCAAATATACCACTTCTTTAATTAATTAAAATTAACAGAGATCTACTTCTACCCAGTCACACAAGTATTAATAAAATTGTTAATAACTTTTTTTTCTAGGCGTATTGAATTGATAGAAGAAAAGAAAGGAAAGGAGGAAACTGCGTTCACTCACCGTAGCCTAAAAGGATGGAATTTGTTGAGGCCAAAAGAGAACAGAGGAGGACGTACTTGTTGAAACCAGATTTTCGGGGTGGTTGGTTGGATTCAAGTGCATTAGGCTTCACCTCCATTACAACTTCTATCAACTAGAACTTTCTCTGATAAAATTGAGATAAATTTCTGCCGAAGAAGATTTGAAAATGGAGGGTAGGATATCAGTTGGGTGAGAGAGATGGAGTATATGTGATGTGGGCATAGGATTAAATATAAATTGCATGACCTGTAAATAGATGGCTTCGCATTAGTAATGAACAACACGTACATTCTAACTGCACACAGCATCTGCACGCAGGATTTGCCATTAATGAGTGGCACTCTTCCAAACGTTTCTTTTATCCATTTTAGATACCTTTTTAATCTTATCTTTTTTTTTTTTTAATCAAATTAAGTTGATTCATTGAAAAAGTATTTTCAGAATTTTAAAACATCAATAAATATTGGCTTTTCGGCGTGGTAATTCGTAATTAATTAGGTAAAATTCGTAATTAGACAAGTGAGACCCATTGTAAACTATCATATCAAAATTATAAGAAAAAATTTATGAAATTGGATTATAAGTGTAATATTGCCTTTAAAACATTAAAAGTGACTTAACTTCCTGTTGTAAACTAAACTGGTTTTACAATATATATATAATGTTGATACAAAAATCTACACTAACTAGAGTGATCCGATCAACCTTGGCGGGATCAGAACCAATATCGGCAGGATTACAGGTAATCAACGATGAAAAATAACGAATGCAATAATGTAAATAACAAAGAGATTTTTAAAATAGTTCGACGAAATAAACTCTTGAGCCTACGTCTACTGTATTTGTATTTGCTGTGAGAGTTTGCGATTAGAGTTATATGAAAATTTTGTAACCCCTTTTTCATCGTTGTAGGGGGTTTATATACAAGATTTGTAGAAAGGAAAGAGCAAAAATAAAGAAATTATAATTGATTCGAAATGCAATTCTGATATTCTCGCGATTGGGCTCTGTGATTGCGCAGAGATTGCTGTTGATCCAGTCTTTCCTACAATATCTGAGATCTGGAGTTATCTAGGAATTGATTGAAGATCATTCGGGTTGTTCGCAACTAGCTTGTGCTGGGTCAAGCTGAATGTCGACGAGCTTATGCTGGGTCGAGCTATATCCTCACGATATCCCGAGCTTGGTGGAAAAATCACACACAACATCTAACCCCTAGTGTTTGAAGCTCGTTTCGAGCTTCGAAGACTATTGCCCGATTTGATGCTAAGTTCAAAATGATAACTAGTCCTCGGATGTGGGTTTGGTCGAGCTCATAGGGTTGAGCTCATGTTCGATCGACGTGCTTCACACTTGTTTACTTCCAATGATACTTGCCAAACTCAGAATATCAAAAGTTAGGGCAAACATGTAATTTCAATGCGGTCATGTCGCATTAAATGCAGCAGCCTTTGTTAGTCGCGTGTGGGAGACTACAACTGTTCACGCATGAAGTCGAGGCGACGTGCGACGACAGTTATCAGTGTAACAGTCTAACGGTTCGTTGCCCTCAAGGGATGGTTGACACGTGGCCACGCCTAAAGGCTGAGATTGCTTGACGAGATTCACTACAACTCGACATCTACGATGAAACCCCGCCCTTTCATCTCCCATGCAAGCTACTATAAAAGGTGGCGAAGTCGTCTAAATCCTCATTCAATCCACAAAAGTTTTATGGCATTCTTGTGCATTCCACTGCTGTTTTATCGTTATCACGACGATCCTCTACGTTTCTCTCACTACGATAAGGTTCTTTTCCCTTTCTTTGTCTGTTTTTCTGGTTTTTGCATCAAATGGTGGTCACTATAGTGGCCACATTGAGCATTTTAGGGTTTTAGTAGGGGTTTTGGGTGCGTCTCCGACGACTTTGGGTTTAAGGAGGGTTTAACGTGGTGGCCGCCAGGACCCTGAGTAGGTTGTGCGCTTTCGTAGTGTGGTGCGAGCTATCTTGTGTGCCTCATCTGGAAGCAAGTGTGAGTTGGTCGCCGAATCTTTTGAGCTCTGACACATGTTCGCTTCTTTTTCGAGCTATTACCATGTCTTGTTCCAGCAGTCACACAATCGATCGCATGTTTGATTCGCCCGTGGGCTCGGCTGTCCTCAGGGATTCAACCCCTGAGGTCTCCAAGGAGATCGTCGTGCGAAGCTCATACCCCGATGCGGCAAGCTCTTCTGATCGTGCTTCAATATAGTTGGGTTAGCCCATGCGATCTCCTGTCCATAGGCTACGAAGAGAGCCACAATCCTCGATTAAAGTCAGGGATCTGGAGCGCATAAGAGCGGCCTATGTGTCGCAGCTTGATTTTATGGTTTTGGAGGCATATTCTCGGAAGAACCCCCCGCCAGAATGAGTGCCAACCTCTGAGACCCTTCTGAGATGCGAGGTATCCATTCCTCCTCATAGTTTTATTGATAACGTGCTAAAGCGGTTCGACATCATTCCTCTCCAACTGTCCGCAAATTCATACGTCATTCTTATCAGTCTGTACATCGTGTATATGATCGCAAAATTGGGCAAGTCATCTATCGAAGAGCTTATCCGTTTGTATAGGCTCAAGAAAGGGCAAGACCAGACGTACTACCTTTCCAAGGAAAAAAAGGTACATTTCAACATGTTGGTCGACGTCTCAAAGAAGGTCTCGCATTAGGACTATCAGGTTTTCTTCTATGAAGCCCGAGAGACCAGCACTTTGACTTTAGACGCAAGTAAGACTTTGATTCCCCGCGTGCGCAAGGGTTGCTTTCGAGCTTTGTATCCGAGCTAATCGAGTTGTTTTTGTTTTGTAGTTAACGTCGAGTAGAATTATCTTTCTGCCGCGTGCTTGCAGAGGTTGCAGCGTTTTAGCGACCTTCCCGATGATCAACATAATGTCAACGAGCTTCTCACGCTTCCTCACCTGAAAGCGTACGGCTTTTGTCGAGACAATGCCAGATTCTTTACAATTTTGGAAAAAGGTTTAAGTTACAAATTGCCCGTGTTTCTTTTCCCACGTAAATAGGTTGCTCATTGTTTGCTTCCTTTCTTGTAGAGAAGTGGGCTGAGAAACCGAAAAACCTTAAAAAGAAAAAGGCAACTGCCGACGGCATCGACTGTTTTGGCAATGAAGCAACCTGCTAACATTGTCGACATGAAGCGCGCCGGTGGTGAGCTTAGGTGAGGCCCAAGCGCGAAAAAACCTACAACTACCCTAAAGGCAGTTGGTGGGAAAAATGCCTCCGAGCCCCAAAAGAGGTTGGTGAAGAAAACATCTGAGCTAACTAGGAGTTCGGGAAAGCAAAATTCATCCGAGCAACATGATGGCTAGGGCAAAAAGAAAATGACCAAGCCTTTGGAGGGCTCGGGCAAACAAAAAGTGGTCGAGCAGCAAGTTAGCTTGGGCAAGGAGGTTGTCGTGCAGGCTGGCAGCCAAAAGAAGACAACGGCCAAAGAATTGGCCAAGAAGAAGTTCACTTCTGTGGGCAAGACAGGTTCTGCTAGGGGAAGCAAATCTAGCTTGTCCCAGTCGAAGAGTAAGAAAACAAGTAGAGCAGCCTAAGCTGCGGTCGATGCACTGATAGATCAACTCCTCGACCATATCGATGTTGATGCCGTAGTGGCCAGGGATTGTGTCACCCGGTGAACATTCTCGGCTATCAGAGACTCATTCCCCGGTCAGATGTTGGCTTTAACGTGCAGCTATGTGGCAAAAGTACTGGTAGTTCGCCCTTCTTTTATTTGCATGCTATCTTTGCCACTTTCTGACTTTTCATCTTACATTTTCAGGTCACCATGGCAAGCAGGCTTCTATACGAGGAGTGCAATGCCACCTTGGAAGGCACTCATAAGAGGTTGATGCTGGTGGAGACAGTGAATGAAGGTGCTCTGGCCAGGGTCGAGGTTACAGAGAAAGAGAAAGAAGCTACACAGGTGGAGCTCGAACGACTCAATGAGGAAGTGGCGACCTTTGGGGTCAAGGAAAAGGAGTTCCTTGACAAGCTTAACATGAGCGAGGTTGTGCAAGCCAAAGCTGCAGCCGAGGTAAGTGAGGCTGAGAAGAACTTGGCACAACAGCATGGTGCCAATAATAAGTTAAACTTCGAGCTTTCCTCGGCCTGAAAGGTTGCCTCATACTGGAAAGTCAAATTTAAGTAGTCCTCGTTCGACTTTGCCTAGGAGGTAGAAGGTCAATGGAAAGTCGAAGCTGATGTCGAGCAACTCAGGCTTCAAATTGAAGAGCTGAACGAGACCATCACTATTCGATCTTGGCAGACGTTGGTCTTCCTTGTGCAGAAGTTATGAGAGGCTAACCCCTCGATCAACTTTTCTTTCCTTCCGCGAGCTTATCAAAAGGAAGTCGAGAGGATGAAGGTCAAAACCCAGGGAATGGCCTACATGTACTCAGATAACTCTGAAGATGATGGTGAGGGCCAGGAAGAGGTCGAGGAAGGCAAAGAGGTTATCGGGCTCAAGCTGGAAGTTGAGGATCCGGTTCCCCTGACCACACTTCCCTTGAGCGAGGCTCCCAACCTTGGAAACACCGCTGCTATCCTTCCTGTCGAGGAATTGTCTCTTCCCCCTGATGGCAAGCTCCTTGGAACAGTTGAGGATGACCCCCCTACTCCTCCAATTGCCTGAGAGATTGTTTACTTTTTTTTTATTTTTTGTCGTTGTTTTTTCTCTTTTAGAATGTAACATAACTTTATCAATGACAGAGAATTTTTCATCTTATCTTTGTCGAGCAAAGATTGTTATATTTCTGCAAAGTCATTTCATTTGTCCTAGTTGGACTTGTAACAGGAGATCCGAATTTGCTCTAAGTTAGGCATAGCTCGCTTCTTGAAGAGCTTTTTTAGATGTGTGCGAGGAAATCTTTTGCGACAAGCAACTCTGATTTCGGATCAGTTGTCTGTATTGAATTTTGGTCACTGGCTTAAGGTCGATTTCCTTCAGCATGTTTTTTTTTTTTTTTAATTTTATCAAATTTAAATTTGTCGACTTAGGATATTTCATCCTTAAAGAGTTAGATATTGGCGTGGCTTTTGAGATAAGCTGCCTTTTCCAAACTCTTGACTTTGAGT